GATATCTTCAGCGGAGGCCAGGTGATATCTTCAGCGGAGGCCAGGTGATATCTTCAGCGGAGGCCAGGTGATATCTTCAGCGGAGGCCAGGTGATATCTTCAGCGGAGGCCAGGTGATATCTTCAGCGGAGGCCAGGTGATATCTTCAGCGGAGGCCAGGTGATATCTTCAGCGGAGGCCAGGTGACATCTTCAGCGGAGGCCAGGTGATATCTTCAGCGGAGGCCAGGTGATATCTTCAGCGGAGGCCAGGTGATATCTTCAGCGGAGGCCAGGTGATATCTTCAGCGGAAGCCAGGTGATATCTTCAGCGGAGGCCAGGTGATATCTTCAGCGGAGGCCAGGTGACATTTTCAGCGGAAGCCAGGTGATAACTTCAGCGGAGGCCGGGTGATATCTTCAGCGGAAGCCAGGTGATATCTTCAGCGGAGGCCAGGTGATATCTTCAGCGGAGGCCAGGTGACATGTTTGGGGGACCCCTGGTGACATGTTTAGGGGACGCCAGGTGACATGTTCACGGGGACGTCAGGTGACATCTTTAGGGGACGCTACGTGATATACCCTCACTTCATATACGTCCCCTCATACTCTCCCCTCACACTCATACCTCGTCACTATACTTATTTACTTTAGTACATTCTCTTTCTGTAATAATATTCATTAAGTTCCCTCTTCAAACTCCTCGTTCACTTCCCTCTATTGTTGTCCACCTTCCCTCATTATCTGACTCATCCACTCTCACCCCTCACTATCTTATTGTTTCCCTCACTCCTCGCCCTCTTTTGACTGTCACTCTTGCAGGTCGGCGTTCGATCCCTAATGGTCCAGGAGTTGGACACCATTTCTCATATCCCATTTCCTAATCCCCAGACCCCTTCCTAGAGCTATAGTCACACTGGCTTAGTGCTTTCACCTCATTGTGAGAGTAAGGGATAGGTAATATGAAGAACTACAGGGGACCAGTTATATCAGGTATAAGTGTGAGTTGAGATCCGATTGTGAGGGCTGAGTATAAGGGCAGCGTGTAAGGGCTGTTTGTGAGATACAGGCGTGAGGGCAGGTTATGAGGGTTGATTATCAGGGCGGTAGTCTACAGGGATTTCACTGAGCGCTATGATGGGCGCTACTTCCAGTTGCCTGCCGATGCGGGTTCTGTGGTTGTTTCGGACCGCAGTGGCACGTCCACGTGTGTCAGTGTTCAGGGAGCCCCCTTCGAGTTTCCCGAGGTGGTGTTACGGCGCTATTTTGGTCAGTTTGGTTGGGTGTTGTCTGTTAGGAAGAACGTTCTTTCGTCCGGCCGGCTGAAGAGTGTCCAGCATGGGATCCGCAAGCTGACTATGTGGCTGAAGGCTGATATCCCTTACTCTGCCAAACTGATGGGGTTTTACATCAGGGTGTTCTACGCTCGGCAGCCGCGTACGTGCTTCCCTTGCAGTTTGTCGGGGCACCAGGCTGCCGGGGGGCAGCGCGGGGAGCGTGGGCCGAGTGAATCTCTTTCGGAAGGAGGATTTCAACCCCCCTGGATGTGCTGGACCCTTTTGGGTGTGTTGGCGAGTGTTCCCGGGGATGTTGTGCCTGCACAGAGTGCTGCTGCTGGGTATTCCGATGTTTCAGTGCCGATTTCTGCAGGCCCCTTGGTTGGGGATGTGGGGGTCGAAGTAGTAGATGGTGCGGCCTTGCCACATCGCCGGCTTCCCCGCCTCTGGAGCCCCTGCTTGCCTTGTGCCCTGATGAGGTGTCTTCCGTGCGTGCTGATGTGGATGTGCATGAGGTGCGGTCTCCTGTCGCTTGTGGTCCGATGCCTCCACTTGTCGAAGCTGCGGTACTGCAGGATCATGCTATGCGTAATGTTGCGAGTTCCCCCGGGGGCTCTGTTGCTCTGCCTCGTGATGGTTGTGATAGTTCTGACGACCAGAGGCCTGTCTCCAAGCGTTCAAGGCGATCTCGGAGTGTGTCTCCTCGTGGTGTGTGCCCTGGGCCGACGTGCAATCTCCCAAGGATTCTGATGTGAGAATGCTGTTGTTGCGGTGCCTGCGACTCCTGCTGGTCGTGTCGGGTCCTGTGGTGGCGCTGGTGGGGACCGTATATGCAGCGGGTGTTCCAGTAATGGCGGTAGTTGGTGGTCTGGAGACCGTTTCACCCGTTACTATGTCTTCCCCGATTGCCTCTGTGTCCCTGGTTGCTGGATCCCTGGGTTAGGAGGTTGTGGACCCAGTACCCATCTTGCCTCCCGGACTTTATGTATCGCACGTGTGAATGGTGTCCCCCCGACGGACGATGTGTGTGACGCTTACGTGTTGCGATATCCTTATAGTCGGTATCTAGAAAAGTATCGTTGTTCTGAATCCTAATTTTTGTTTTTGATGTGATGTTTAGTTGTTTGTGTGTTTTCTGTTTAGTGTGTTTGCGATGTTTTGGTTCGTCGGTGTTACTTTTGTAATTATTTTTGTATCTTTTGCTGTTTTCATAATAAACATTCCTATGGTCCAGGTAACTGTCGACCCCATACCCATCCTGTGGGCGGTAGTGGACCCCATACCCATCCAACAGTTGGTAGTGGGCCCCATACCCATCCAACAGCTAGTAGTGGATCCCATAAACATCCTACAGGTGGTAGTGGACATCAGACACATCGAGTGAATAGTTGTTGACCCTATATTCATCCGGAGGATACACTAGCAGTGTTGAAGGCAGAAATGTTCAGTGTACAGGTTCCTAAGTAGGAAGACTTTAGAGGCAAGACCGACGAGAGCCATCAACATCAGAGGCTAGTGTCACGTGACGGACTTGGCGTGGTGAGAGGCGATGTCGTGTTATTTTATCCCGTCGTTGTAGATGTTATTTAGTTCCCCGAGACGGTCTTCGTTGCCTTCCTTACTGTCTGGCTGTGGTCGTCTGAGGTGGAGATTACGATAAGACAGTTAATTATAAGCTTATAAATCTCACGGTAAACATACAGCTCTAACAGGCAAAACTGACGAGGTTGGAGCTGTAGAGGGCATGTAGGAAGGAGCTGGGAACCGCCTGACAACCTAGAAGACTCGTCTTGAGACATACTCCAAGCGCTCGGAGAGTACCTTGGGAAAACGGAGACAGGAAAAGCATGGAAGGTGACGGGAAGTCTTGTTTTGAAGACAAGAGGAGCGCCGAGGACCCTTCCGGCGTCACGAAGTGATCGTCGTGGACGCCACTTGTTTAGAATAATTTCTGAACAATGTCGTCCCGGATGTTAATAGTTATTACAAAGCATAAATGTACACACTTCAATAAGTTAAAATCATTTAATTTGTCATTAACGAGCAATATCTTAAGTCAATTGAAAGCAAATATTTAACATCATCCAGTGTTGTGTCAGGAACTTTGGGTGTTGGGTTTGTTAGTATGTTATTGTATATATTGTATATTGTAGTTGTGGAGCGGCCATTAACAGTTCTTGACTGACGGATGATTACTACTTCACTGCCTATTGCAAATGTTGTTCTGTTGCAACATTTACAATAGCATGTTGTATTTGGTTTGTGAATTAGATTTTGAAATGAACAACTTCAAACATTCAAGCTGGGGATCATTATTGGTTCATTAGAGACTGATCGTTCGTATTTGGGGAAGTGAAGGAGTGGCTGTTGGCCATTGTTAATTGGCACTTCAGACTCGCAAAATGTTAACCAATGGGGGTGAATTTTAGGGTGAATGTCAACCAATCAGCGGCCGGGTTTGGTTGGCTGCTGGGTATAAAAGGGAGGATGAGACAAAATGCACTTCAGTGTGTTTTACCTCACTTTTGGTATACAGTTCCAGCTTCGTCTCTTGAAGGTGAGCTGTATGGTGAGGATCCTCCCCACCTCCCCCTTTGCCCCCTCCCCTCCTCCTCCCCTTTGCTGTTGCCCCCCCCTCTCCCCTTTGTTGCGTTCCCTCCTCCCTTCCCCTGCGCCCCCCCCTCCTCCTTGTTTTGTTGCGTCCCCCCCCCCCCTCCCTGCCCTTTGTTGCGCCCCCCCCCCCCTGTCCCTCTTTTCCCTGGTTCCCAGTACTGGAACTAGTGAGGTGTATAGGGGAAACTACCATAGTTTCAAAATAACCTCGACGAATCAAAGGTTAGGTTATGTGCGTTTAACGCTGCGTGTGGCACTACAGCAGACTCAAACTGGCTTGTGACGCTCCTCTACCCTACTTGTATCATGCGAGAAGCTAGCCCTTAACGTCTGACTTCAACCTTAAGAAATTTTTACATGAATCTGAAATGTATACAATGGGGGGGTTACTAGTGTTAAACTTTAGTTTTGAATCTGTAATTTTAAACTTAAAAGGTATTTATATAAATTATATAATTTATATAAAATTTATAATTTAATTATATAAATGGGTAACAAAAATTTCCTACAAACAATGAACCAGGATATGTTAATCTTTAGGATGTCCATCCATGGTGTTTAGTCTGTGTATTTACCACCAATACTAATTATGTTACTTGCTGTCGTGTATTAAGCGTAAATTTCCTTGAGTAGCGCTTGAGTAGATTTGTAGCATTCAAGATTTCAGTAAAGTGTAGTTGTGTAAATTGTTAAGGGAATAATTTGTCCTGTCCATTGAACCCTAATGATGGTTAACTACCGGTTCGTAGTGGTAAAATTGCCAGCACCCCGGGGGTCTAAACAAGGGAGTCGGAAGTTTGAGAAACGTACCTTGGGTAAAATTCAGATGCTAGTCTCCGGACACTTCAACATAGTGGTTTGCTCCAGCAGTTCAAAAAGCTGTAGTTTGGTAATATACAATATAGCCATGCACGTTGACTGTTTATTCCAGTTTCTTAAGACAATAATGGTAACACTTAATCTGTTAAATGTAGACAGTTAATAGGCTCCAGTCTCCTGAGCAAAACTAGTTGTCTGCACCAGTTTTCGTCTCGCCTCTTCCCCCCCCCCTTCAAAAAGTCTTCCTTCAGGGAAAACGTCTCTAATGTTCTCCAAAAAAGAGTAACCGGTTTCAAACTATATTTCTTTCCAGATCCAACAGTTCTCTTAAAGCGGCACAGTTATCCTTCCTTTATTTAAGGTATCCCAGCTTCCGTTGGTCCCCTCAGTCCCTCAAGTCTCTCAGCTCTCAAGGACACGACAAACTCTGCACTCCAGCCTGTGAAATACCTGGAACGTAGTAAGTAAAATGTTCTAGTTTGATTTGGTTACTCTCAATCCCATAGATCAAACCAGTAAGGTGCTTGGAGTACCAACGATACCGGTTAGAATACTCAACATAGCTTTTATTCTGATATTACTGTTGGTATCTGCTCCCGGAACATGCAATATTGCATCCATTTAAATATAAGAACATAGCTCTTATTAACACAGATCACGTTATGGCTCTTATTGTCTCCTTTTAGTAAATTTATATAAATTTAATTTTAAACAGTTTCAGATACATGTAACTAGGGCTGGTAAGAACTATTTTTCATGGTGCGTGAATATAAATACCTACAGCCGGGATCAAACAAACTCTTGCTGCTAGACATTGCAGAGGCTGATGAGTATCGAAGAAAAGGATATGGGACTTCATAAAAAGAGCTATCACCAGAAGTGAGTTTGTGTTTAACATGGTTATAAATGATTGAAATACATGTGCATTAAAAATATGGTCATTCTGCTAGACTAAAATTTACTATTGGCAAAGAATTTTTGTAATGCTAGGTAATATTTTTAGGTGGGATTCAGTTTGTGGCAAGGAGCGAGGCACGACGACCAGGAGGTGGTCATCCGGGTACACAGTCCTACACCAACTAGTCTCACACTCAAGGGTCAGTATGACTTGTTTTACTTTATTAATTCATCATTCGGCTTAAATTATCTTAACATACAAGGGTGTTTGGAATCTTTTTCAAGAGCAGGTTAAGGGCTTAAACGGTTGTAAAGAATACTGTAGAAATTAATCTTAACTCGTCACTAGATTTTATAATGTCTTACTTTAAGGAATATAATAGTTCTGATGTTAACTCGCCCCCCTCCTGTCCCCAGGCACGGACGATCACAGCCAGACAACAGGAAAAGCAACGAAGACAGTCTCGGGGCAGTGAAGAACATCTATAACGGCGTCATAATGTGGCAAGACATTGCCTGTCACCAGTCTGTCATCTGTGAAGCCAGCCTTTGATATATTTTGCCAGAAAATGACCTGGTTTCCTGAATGATAGTTGTAAAATATGAATTTCAACTAGCTCTTAATCGTCTTTAATCCCTTAGCCAGGAAGTTTCTTAATACTTTGTCTACGCAACTTGCCACCAAGGAACTGAAGTATTAATTTTTTTTTTACACAATATCCTAAACTCGTCACTTAAGGAAACTATTAATGACTTGAATGTCACAAGCATGACAATGTAACAACGTGTTGGAGGTATGTGAACCACCACACGTACCCCAGACAGACACGTGTAGGTGGATTACTTGTAAAACTTGGTTGTGGCACTGTTTTGGGGCCTCGCTAGGTGTCTAAGATCAAGGAATTTTGTCTAGTTTAGTTTGGCAGTGAGTTTATCTGGAAGAAACTTGAACGCTGGCTTGACTCTTGATGTTATAAAATACATTTTAAAAGTAGTATTCAAACCCATTCTAACTGGGCAACTAACCCAACTAAATGACTAACTTAACTACCTATTTCTCTATCCACACTATTCTATATTGCGACCCAGTATGGTACTAATAAATCTCTGAACTGTTACTTTCCTTGTATACATCAAAAGTGCGTATTTCTAGATAAACTAGAGAATTAAATGTTAAGATAATTAGGGGGGAGGGGAAGCAGGAAAGAAACGTCTTGCATGAAATTCCAGGAAAACGTTAAACATTTTCATTGGAGCTGCCTCGTATGGGCCAATAGGCCTGCTGCAGTTCTCATTACTACTATCCCCTACACCTGACTTTCCTCCTCAGCTCTCTCTTGCCTATTTATTGCCTGTCCCTACCTCATCACAATCGACTTGAGAATGGTCCAGGACGGACCGAAACGTCGTCGTCCCTTCAATTTCTAGTGTGTGGTCTGGTCAACATTTTCATTGGAAACTTCAGAGGGATGTACTTTCGTTAACTTGTTTATTAAAATTTGTTCAACGTGATGCACGTCTCTAGGTTTTAATGTTAACAAATTTTTACATTAGTAATGGATAAACGTTTCACTTAAAGGTGAATTTTTACTTTAATTAAGAATAGCAAGGCTGAGTCTGCCACAAATGGCCTGACAACACGAGTAACATCAGCCTCGTGAATCAACCCGTTCTCGCAAATTCGTAAAGTCAATATTGACTTACTAACTACGTGCATAGGTGATATACTAAACATAATAGATACCCTTAAAAAGATTCATAGAAAACACCGACCTAACCTTGTTAGTATCTTAAGATAAGCATCTTATTGCTTCGTAATTACAATTATACTTAACCTATACCTTATAGGTTAGGCTTGCTTCGTAATTACAATTATTACTTAACCTATACCTATTATAGGTTAGGTAATAATTGTAATTACGAAGCAATAAGATGCTTATCTTAAGATACTAACAAGGTTAGGTAAGGTCGATGTTTTCTGAATCTTTTTAAGGGTATCTATTATTAAATATGTGCATAGGTGACATACTTAACATAAGTCAATATTGACTTATTAAATTTGCGAGAACGGGTTGCGTGAATTGCACATTACTGAAACCTCACTGGCTTGTTTGTCCCCCACCCACTGTAGGGCAGTGACCCGCCCTGGAGCAAAAGTTCGGATGCTTGGACTGTCACCTGTACGGAAATAAGTTTCGAGAACACTCCCACTGGTCTCCTGGGTTGTTGCGGACTCCATAAATCCCAGGATATCTTTGAAAGAAAAAAGGGTACCTTGTTCCACTAGTCTAACTTGAGTTAAACGTTTTACATCTGATGCTGTTGACATGGGTTCGTATAAAAAACTACAGTAACAGTACCGTTGATCTATTGGCAGAAAGCTGTCGGACGTACCTGCCACTTAATTTTGGGTTTACTTGTTCATTTAATATTTAATCTTGGATAAATACGAGGCAGTAGGAGAATGACATGCAAACTATTAGTAGTTATTCAAACTATTCCTGTTGACATTTACTGGTATCACTCAACGTCTGTATCAAAGAATAGACAAAATTAAAGAATTTGTAAATGTAGACGCTTCGAATGAGTTGATAGAAAGGTTTGAGAGCCACATGAAAGGTCTGTTGTTCTAACTACTTTGTAAAAAACTGAATTACTTTACGGGTTTGGTGCCGCCTTTTGATAATTACTTAAAGAATTAAAGGTCCAATGTAATGCATAAAATGGTGCAACTGCTTGAAGCAAGAGACTTCACCCATAGGGTTTATACCCATGGAACCACTTACCCGCCGAAGCATTCGACACAATTTACTATTATACAAATAATGGGGAATAGAGGAACTAAGTTTCCTCGGCGGGGACCCTCTAGGTAATCCTGACTTGCATACATGAATTAACCAGTCCTAATCCATCCACCAGAAGAGGCAAGTAATTATCAAAGAAGGCACCAAGACGAAGAGAACACATCACTTTGGATATTCAAAGGAAACTATGCCGATATCGCTCGACTACTCTATATTAAGGACATTACACTCCAACCATTTTCTCAGTCCCGGAAGAATAACCATTTTGCTTCACGAGCATAAGTATTCTGAATAAGATTTTGATCTGTACGGATAACAGACTACAGCTGTTAGCTGCATGAAGATCACACAAGATAGTCTGCATATATTTTATAGACTGGACATCCAGCCCAAGGCAACCACAAGGAGCAGCCTAGTTACAGAGCAGGTATGACTTACACGGAAAGTCTACAGGAGCTAAACGACACGTCCCTGGAAGACAATTTTGAAGATGATCACGACTAAGAAATTGACGGTGGACAAAACTATTTAGCATGGTTGGAACACTACCAAAGGAATATGTGGAGACAGAGCCCAAATGAGAATCAAACAAAGCGCAAAGCCATTACGACTATGTAGCACTTAAATGGGGTCAGGATAAGGATTTGGGATGGGAGCAATGAATGCTGCCCAATCACTTTGATGACCGGGAATTGAACGCCGACCTGCATGAAGCGAGACCGACGCTTTATACTCCAGCCCAAGTGGTTGGGCGGCCAACACATTTAAGATTTTCCCCTTTGTCAGTAGTTAACAGATGGAATGCATTAGGCAGTGATGTGGAGGTGGCAGACTCCATACACAGTTTTTAAATGCAGACATAAGAGCCCAATAGGCTCCGGAATCTTTACACCAGTCGATTGATAGTCTAGAGGCGGGACCAAAGAGCCGAAGCTCAACCTCCGCAAGCACATCTAGGCGAGTACACAATCCTGAGGGTGATCTTGGTACCCACAGAATAAGTCCTGTGGAACATTCACGCACCTTCCTACCTTTCCTGAACCACAAGCAAGCATTTAACCTGGCCAGTTCATTGTAGTTACGGTATAACTGGAAACTTTTCTGTAGGACAGCCTCCGATTTCTCCTGTGCAACCAAACCAACACAAACCGGTGCAACCTCTGTTACAGTTTTCCTACTTGTGGAGCCAATAGGGTCGTTTTATAGCCCCGTTTTCAACGAGTAGAAGAATAGGTCAACATTAATAGGTCTCTCCTACCGAGGATAGACTTCGTACTGTCAAGTCTTGCCCAGAGTTAACCATGAGTGTTTACCACTCAATGTTAACTTCAGTGGCATTACTAAATTCAAGATACGAGGAAGGTGTTGTATGGAGATGGGAACGTTACTTTAATTTGAAACTAGATTCTTTGGGTTCATAAACACCAAACTATCCTCTATCATCCGGGTTGTGGGTTCAGGATAACAGCATCTAACAGCCTAGTCAGAGACCGGGCCACGTTTAATTAAACAAGGTTGAATAAAATGACTATTTGGGTAGTAATTTAGTATTGAAATTCAAAGTTGGAGTCAAGAATCAGCGCGAGGTGCCCTCAGAAAGCGAGCTCTTAGCTCAGACGACCAAGTGGTGAAGGGCGGTACATCGTTTTGTTCCGTCGTTGTAGTACAGACAGTTCAGTATTGTGCTTGCTGTGAGCTTTGGCTCTGTCCTGCCTCTCGTTGTACAGATTCCTGTCTGCGCTGTCTGTGTCTAGCTGGCTGTATTGGTCGGACCTGGGGACGAGAGGAAGCTAACATTAGGAATGTCAGGTTTAAAATGGTTAACATTTCCACCTTTTTAGTGACTTACTGTTAAGTAAATGCAGTTCATTAAGCCATCGCTAGACACTAGCAATCTTCACTACCACCCAATGATTAATATCGAGAGCACAAATTGTCGCACGATGTGTATGGGGGCCACTACCACTTATAGGATGTGTATGGGGGACCACTACCATCCATAGAATGTGTATGGAGTCCACCACCGCAATTTAAATAGGAACAGACAAGTATGGATTGGAGACGCAGATGTAAAGCTTAAAGAGCTCATTAACAATGCGATGTATAAGACACTAACAAGAATACTATAGTAGGTAATGGGCAAATATTCAAGTGCCACACGCAGCATTATGTGCACGTAACCCAATCTTCGATTCGTCAAGGAAAATCTGGAATAATGGTAGTCTACTTCCATACACTTCACTAGTTCCAATACGGGGAATTAGGGGCAGGGGAGGGTGGCACAAGGGGCAAGAGAGGGCGCCACATGGGGCAGGGGAGAGAAAGGAAAGGGGGTGATCCTCCACATACAGCTCAAGTTCAAGAAACTATCCTGGAACTGTATATCAAATGTGAGGTAAAACACTGAAGTGTTTTTTTCGTCTCATCGTCCCTTTTATACCTAGCAGCCAACCAAACCCGGCCGCTGATTGGTTGACATTCACCCTAAAACTCACCCTATTGGTAAACATTTTGCGCGTCTGAAGAGTAAATTAACAATGGCCAACAACCACTCTTGCACTTCCCCAAATACGAACGAGTCTCTAATGAACCAATTATGATCCCCAGCTTGAACATTTGAAGTTGTCAATTACAGAATCTAATTCACAAACCAAATACAACATTCTATTGTAAGTGTTGCAACAGAACAACAGGTACAACAGAGCAACATTTGCAACAGAAGCGGCTGTGAAGTAGTAATCGTCCGTCAGTTAAGGGCTGTTAATAGCCGCTCAACAACTACAATATAGAGTATATACAATATATATATATACC